CATCTCCTCCTCCTCCATCACCTCCTCCTCCTCCTCCTCCTCCTCCTCCTCCTCCTCCTCCCCTGCCAGGAGGGACTGGGCCGAGGCACCCGCTGCGGTGACTAGTGGCCCGGTTCTGTTGTTCCATAGATTCAGGCAAATTCCCTAGAGCTCGAGGAATGAGAAAGGTACGGCGGGAGTTGTTTCATTGTTTTCGGAGTCTGGGTGTTCTTACCAGGCCTCTGGACCATCAAAAACGACTCGGGACGAAAAACGGGTCCTCGGGAAGCGGTCCAGACCTCTGGGGGTCGACGTCATGACAAAATCATGACGTCGGGGTCTGGGTTACTTGCATGGCGTTCGCCCCCCCTCTCCCCTCTTTCATCGTTTACGAGCGTGCAAGTGCCTTTAGACTTGCGTGAGTTCCGCACGTCAAGTCGTTGGCGGCTTGCTTCAGGTTCAGGCCTCGCCCCCCATGAATACGAGTGAATGTGCCATAGTTCTTGTTGCGTAAGATAACAGGCTCCCCTCGAGCAGTGAATTATCCAGGCGGAGGGCCCAACCATATGTATGTGTAAGTACCGCAGTTATGTGCGCCGCCTTCGGTGGAGCTCCCTCTGGGGCCACGAAACGTGTGAGGGTGCCGACATGGGTGCGGTGGCGCCATGCGCACGCTGCCACTGCGGCCTTCGGTGGAGCTCCCTGTGGGGCCACGGAACTTGTGAGGGATGTGCCGAAATGTGCGCGGTGGCGCCATGCGCACCTTGCCACTGGGGCCTTCGGTGGAGCCCCCTCTGGGTCCACGAAACGTGTGAGGGGTGTGCCGAAATGAGTGCGGTGGCGCCATGCGAACCCTGCCGCTGTGGCCTTCGGTGGAGCTCCCTGTGGGGCCACGGAACTTGTGAGGGGTGTGCCGACATGGGTGCGGTGGCGCCATGCGTACCCTGCCTCTGGGGCCTTCGGTGGAGCTCCCTCCGGGGCCACGAAACGTGTGAGGGGTGTGCCGAAATTAGCGCGGTGGCGCCATGCGAACCTTGCCACTTGGGCTTTCGGTGAGGCTCCCTCCGGGGCCACGAAACATGTAAGGGGTTAGGCGAAACAGAGACATGCGAAACGCAGAGGCGAGGAGGGGGGGAGGGAGGAGGGGGAGGAGGCAAGATACGTGCGCTCGCGCATTTCTGACGTCCTACCCCTCCCTCCCATCCCTTACCATGTCGTAGCTCTCCTCTATATTGGCGCAATCGGATGTCGTAGCATGGCATAGCATTACATGGCATAGCATGGTGTCGAAGATCAACGCGTAGCTTGACATAGCATAGCGTGGCGACGCCCCAAAGTGGGGAGGGGCTTCTGCGGCCCATGAAATCCACGATTCGGCACCCATGAAATCAACGATTCGGCACCGAATGTGGAATCACTTCCGATGGTTTTTTCGGGAAGCCAGAATCTGGATATCGGAGCCTATTTGGAAGGACCGGAAACCATGCCGTGGCATGGCACTGGAAATAATGACGCCAGCGCTGCAGCGGGAGCACGATTCGGAACGAGCGGAAGCGCGCAAATGAGGCCAGCGCTGCAGCGGGAGCACGATTCGGAACGAGCGGTAGCCCGAAAATGAGGCCAGCGCTTCAGCGAGAGCAACAAGTTGAATAACAAAACCAAGCGAAAACCCGTTTCGCGGGAATCTTGTGTGCAGAAAACCCGTACGCGGAGGGGCGGCGGAAATTTCCCGGACGCCACCAGGGGAGAGAGGAGAGTACTATTCATAGTGTGAACTTGTAAAGAAAAGGAGAGCGAGGAGAGGCGAGGAGAGGAGAGGAGGAAGAACGCGGGGCGCTGTCTCTACAAAACGAGGACCCAACACCGCGGGATGATTGGGACAGAAATCACGACGGGAGGTTCTTCGAAGTTTTTGGCTTCTGGGGACCCTTATCATGGGCCTCAGGGCCGTCCAAAAACGTTTCGGAAGGAAGAAGCCCGTCCTGGGAAGAGGTCGAAAGCCCTGGGGGTCGACTTCAGGGGTCTGGGTTCGTGGGGCCGCCCCTATGGGATCTTGGCGCCGCCGTGTCAGAGCGCGACGGGCGGCTTTGCCCCTTGTGGTTTCGGGCCCCCGGAGCCCTCACAGGTTGCACTGGCGCGGAAGAAATGGCGCAGGAAGATGGGGTCCAGGGCTTTGATCGCGTTTTTTTTCCGATGCTGCAACTTGATCACGCCGTCGGATCTCAGGGGAGTGCCCCTGCCGTGAGCTCCAGGGAGGGCGGGATTCGTCCTGCGCGCGTCAGAATTGGATCGCGCCCTCCTTGGGGGCTGTGAGCTGTGAAGCTGTCGCCACTATCGTGAGCGCGTTCCTGGGACCTCCAGCGGGCTAGTGCCTTGCGCGGACCTCCACTGCGGAGGGGCCCCCGATCGCCGAGCGCGATGCGACAGCAGCGGCCTGCGCGCTCGGGCTTGCCCTCCCCGTCCCAAAGCCACGCACCGGGCCCAGACCCCCGACGTCATCATTGAATCGCTTCGCTCCTGCCGCCGGCCCAGGTTGCCTCGCCGCTGTCGTTGGTCGGGGTGTTGTTGTCAATGCGGTGCGGTTGGGCGGCTGCCATTTTTCGGAGGCGGTGGGTGGTGGGTCAGAAGCCCCTTGGGGCCTCTTGGGGGCTTCTTGAGGGCCTCTTCGGGCTTCCAGGGGACCTCTCTGCACCTAGAGCTCGACATGTCCGTTTGGGTCCCTCGTCTGGGCCCGCTCTTGAAGCCGTCTTGGGAGCCTGTTCGGCCATCTTGGAGTGCTCTGGGGCTGCTTGGGGCCCTCTGCGACCGTTTTGGGCGCTCTTGGAGGCCTCTTGGGCCGTGTCAGCGCGATCCTGGAAGCCTTTTGGGCCGTCTTGGAGCGCCGGTAAGCTCCCAAGGCGAGAACGCCAAAAAACTCCAACATAACTCTTATGGAAGTCACTACTTTCTGCCTCTGTGGGCCCTCTTGGGAGGTCTCTTGGAGGCCTCTTGGGGCGTCTTGAAGGCGCTTTGGGCTGTCTGGAGGCTATCTTTAGCTTCTTGGATCGCTCTTGGGGCGTCTTGGGCCATGTTGGGCTCTCTTGGAGGCCACTTGAAGCGCTCCTGGAACGCTCTTGGGAGCCTACTGGGACCCGCCCGGCACCTGCCCAGGACCTGCCAGGGGACTTACCGGGGTATTTTTCGTCCGGGGACCCCCATGGCCCCGCGCGCGCGAATTAGAATATTGTTAACCAGTCACCGGAGATCTTAGCATGCCAATTGGGCCGGCGAGTTTTCTCACACCGTCGACACCCAGAGGTCTCGGCCCATTCCCCAGAACTGGTTTCTCATCCCAGCCTCGAGAACTGGTAGGGGCCCTTGGAGGCCGAAGACAGCACCGCTCCGTCGTGGTTTTGTCCTGAGTCGAGGGGGTCTGGGAAGCCGCGCACGAGAGGTCGCCTTCGGTAGCAACTCGTGATGGGGGCCTTGTATGTCCTCACGCCTCTGTCTGCCGAGTGCCTTTGCGTGCACGAGCATGTGGTACGGTGGAGGCGTTGGTAAAGGAATGTGCACATGATGGTTCAGACCCCGGGTGATTCCTTATCTTATGGGCGGCAGTAATATCCATGACCAGTCCACGATTGCAGTTCCACCAGCTTCTGGACCCTAGATTCCTTATCCAATGCTTCCTTACCCAACGCCCTCACTGTATAGTCGATGAGACAGCGCCGAGCTAGAAGCGCCGACCAGCGCCGACGCGCCAGGGCCAGCAAGAGATGGCACGGCAGGCCCCCATGAGCTGTGCCGCCGAGTCGCTCCATGGGCCAGGGACCCAGACCACCCCGACGCCATGATTTTTTCATCACGTCGACCCCCCCCCCCCCCCGAGGTCTCGAAGCATTTTCCCCGGGGCCAGCTTCTCCTCCCGAGCCGTTTCCTGGCAGTCCCGAGGCCCAGCGAGGGCCCCCATGAGGCCGAAAGTGGCAAAGAACTTGCCGCCCTGACTCTTTCGTCCCCCGATGGGGCCTCACGGGTTTTCTTTGCGCGCCGCGGGCCAGGCGGACGAGGGGCGCCCGGGGCCGCCCGGCCTCCCGCGGGGCGCGCCGCTGGGCGACGCCCGGGCGGAGGCCCAGCCCGCGGCCTGCGCGGGGCCCCGCCCCGCTCCTGCGGCGGCGGAGGCGCCCTCGGCCGCCCGCCGCGAGAGCGACGCCGCGGGGCGGGCCAGCGGCGGCGGCGCCGCCGCCAACGCCGGCGGCCGCATCCACGTGCACCTGGCCGAGGAGGCGGGCGGCAAGGGGCAGCTCGGGGTCGAGGTGCTCGAGGCGCTGGCCGGGGACGAGCGGGGCCTCCTCATCACGGCCGTGCGGGAGGGCGGCCTCGTGGCCGCGTGGAACCGGCAGCGTGCCGAGGGCCGCCTGGGTGTCGGCGACCGGATCGTCGAGGTCAACGGGCGGACCAAGGACCTCACGTCGGTGCTGTCCCAGGCGCTCGCCGGGGGCGAGTCCGTCGACATCGTGGCCATGCCCGGGGCGGCAGTGCACCAGGGCGCGGGCGCCCCCCGCGAGCGAGGCCAGGCCACGGGCGTCCTGCCGGTGGCGGCTCGCAGCGCCCTGGGCGACGAGCTCTCGCCCTGCGCCTCGGACGAGACGCTGACGAAGCTGCCGGAGGCCGGCAGCGGCGGCGAGCCCACCGCGGAGGGCATGCCGTCCTCCGACAGCGATGGCAGCTGGGGCGCACCGCTCCCGCTGCCTGGCAGGGCGGGCAGCCGTTCCCACTCCCAGAGCACGACGCGCTGGCAGAGCGAACCTGGGCGGGGCGGGAGGGCCGACGGTGACCAGGCGCAGCTGTGCCAGACGGCGAGCTCCGAGTCGTCCGCGTGGCCCGTGAGGTCGAAGCGGCCTCACCTCTCGACAGGATCGACGGTGCAGACAGTTCGACAGGGTCGCGAGGATGGGCTCGTGGAGGAGATGGTGCAGAGCCAGGACCTCGGTACCGCCATGGGCCCCACCCTCAGCATTGACTCCATGGCGGTGGAAGACGAGGTGAGCGCGCCGCTGTGGCTCCGTATCTGCGGCACCCTCCCCTGGAGCCAAGCAGCGGCCCTGCACACCTGCTATCGGTCCCTCGTGCTCGCGTCGATGGCGCTCATCGTCTGCTTCCTCGTGTTCGCAGCGGTCTATGCGCCATCTGGGTCGTGCGAGCGCGAGGTGTGCCTGGGCTACGTTCAGATCGCAGACCTGGCCCTGGCAGTCGGCAGCCTGGTCGGGCTGCTGTCGATGCAGTCCCTGGCGTCCCTGGGCATCCTCGGCAACTCGGAGTCCATCCTCGTGGCCTACGCCCGCCGGCAGGATATCACCGCGGCCTGGTCAGCCGCCATGAGGGGCCACAACGTGCGATTGGGCCTCCTGTGGATCTGCAGCGTGGTGTTACGCTGCGTCTCGCTGCTGAATGGTTCGCGGCCCACGCTCCTGGACGCCGCCTCGACAGGAAGCTACGCAGTGGTAAGCCTGGTGTTCATGGGCATCGTGGGCGGCATCCTCCATGTGAGCTGCGCTCTCACCATGGCCATCGACTCCTACGTCACTCACTTTGACGGCTTGCACTTCAGGCTGGACACGAGCGTGTATGAGTGGAACCTGTTGCAGGCCGTGCTTCGCAAGGTGTCGGGGGCCGTGGAGAAGACGTTCCTGGCGGTGCAGAGCACCGCGGCTGCGCTGGTCACGGGCGTGATCCTGGCAGGTCGAGGTTTGTTGATGGCGGGCAGCTTGGGAGACCTGACGTGGTTGTTCTCGGCGGCGCTCTTGGTCGTGGGTGTGATGTTCATCTTCTTCAAAGCCGCGGAGGCATCGGAGAGGTGCATGCGGATGCCGTCCTTGATCAACTCGCTAAACTTCGGGGAGTGCGTCGACACTCGGAGGCACTACCTGGTGGAGTTCATGAGCTACAGCGCCGCAGGATTCTATGTGGGAGAGGTTCGCCTCACGACCGCGATCGCGCTGAAGCTCACGTACTTCTGCTGCATTCTTGCATTCGCTGGTCTTAGCGAGCTGTACGCTGAGGACGCAGCTAGTTTCTAGGTGGTCACAGGAGAGCGAGTTGAGACAGCGGTAGTCGGCCGTCCGGAGGCCTGCTTGCCACTGCTGGACGCAGCTCGGAAGATTGGAACCGATTTTGAGCTGCCGTTGTCTCAACGCGCCCTTCTCCGAACGACGTGGCCAGTTTTTTTCGGAAAGAAGAGAGGGAGAGAGAGAGAGAGAGAGAAAAAAAACAAAAAAAGAGAGACAGAGAGGCAGAGAGAGAGGGGCATGAAATGAATAAAGAAATCTATCATAAAGAAAGAACGAAAACGAGGGAAACGGAGAGAGAGAGAGAGAGAGAGAGCGAGAGAAGAAAAAACATAGAAACAAGAAATATATATATATATATATATAGAGAGAGAGAGACAGAGAGAGAGGGAGGAGTGCGGTGGAGCAGGGGTGGGATGGGGGAGAGGGGGACGGTATGACAAGGCCTGGTTGCAGCGGGATGGCCGAACTTTTTTTCCCCGCGGTCCCCTTGCCTCAGCCTTGGCATCGCTCGGACGTGTGCATCTTTGCTCGGCGAGAACCGTCGAGGACCATCCTGGACCATCGAGCCACAAAAACACGCACGAAGCCGAAACATGTACGGGAAATGGACGTCCGAGCGACGGCAAGCAGCTATAGCTGTACACCCTGGACTGTTTCAACGCTTGTTTAACGGATGACGAGCAGCCCTTTTGAAGCTGCTCCGGCGGGTTTTCCTGCCACTCGGAAGCTGGGAGCTGTCGGCGCGAGGCCGCCGGGCGGCGCCCGCGAGAGGGCTCACGTGTCGGGAGCTGCTCTCGCGCCGGCGCCCGGCCCGGGCTCGCCGAGCGCCACGACCCGGATAGATTCCCCGACCCGCACAGGCCTGGCAGCATGGACACTGCCTGTTGCCACGGCTTCGGGGGCGGCAGAGAGGGGGGCGATGACAGGGGGGGGGGGGGGGATTTCATGGCGCGGGCCACGACTTCTCTTCAGACTTCATGGGGCCTCTTCTCATTTCGTTGCGTCCCTGGCGCCTCCCTTGGGCCGCGCACATGCCGCCGGCCATGCTTTGCACCCCCCCCTCTTGGACACCCCCCTCTTGGCCGCCCCCGACGTCTGGGTCTCGTGCACATGTTTGCCTCCTGCTCCGTGTCTTTCTTGGTCCACCTCGTCGACCTCTGCATCTCGAAGAAGAGGAAGCGCCATACATACCTATACGACCACCCTGCGGGTGATAAGGAGGTTGGGGGGGGGCCAGCAATGGGCAACAGTGGTGAATGTTGTTGTGACAATGCCAGTGGAGATAGTCACAATCGACGTCATCATCATCATCATCATCATCATCATCATCATCATCATCATCATCATCATCAACGACATCATCATCATCATCATCATCATCATCATCATCATCATCATCATCATCATCATCATCATCATCATCATCATCATCATCATCATCATCATCATCATCATCATCATCATCATCATCATCATCAATCACACAACATCATCATCATCATCATCATCATCATCATCATCATCTTCATCATAATCATCGCCATCATCAACATCATCATCATCATCATCATCATCATCATCATTACCATCATCATCATCACCATCATCATCATCAACATCATCGTCATCATCATCATCATCATCATCATCATCATCATCATCTTCATCATAATCATCCACGTCATCATCGGGACACCGACGGGACACCGAAGGGACACCAGCGGGACACGAGCGGGACACCGCGCGGCACCGGCCGCCCGCTCAAGGTTCTTTTGCCCCGGCCGCGCCTCAGCCACACGGGACACCAGCGGGACACCGGCGTGACACCGCGGGGCACCGGCCGCCCGGTCAAGGTTCTTTTGCTCCGGCCGCGCCTCAGCCACAGGAGACTTTCTCTCGCCCGCCCACGCAGCTTCGCCTCGCCCGCACGGCACGCACGAACACGAAACCGAAATCGATTTCCCGGTAGGGGGGCTTTCCGTTCCACTTCGATCTCACCCCCCAACCTCCGATATTCCTCTTCCTATATTTTTATAAGCCCGGGCGGGGGGAAAACCCATCCCCCCCCCAAAAAAAAAACCAGACTCCCGGGATCTGAGGCTTTGGGACCCTCCGGACGGGCCTCGAAGCGGCCCCCCTGGCCTCGCAGGGCGTTTTTCCAAGCCTTCCCAGCACACCTAGGGCGATCAGGGGGGGTCATCGGAGACGTCTCAGACACCCCCATGACAGCGCAAGAGCGCTCCAAGAGTGACCGACGTGACCTCAAGATGGCCCAAGAGGCCTCCAGGACGGCCCCAAAGAGGCCTCCAAGAGCACTCCCAAGAGGCGCAAATCATGGTTTTTCTGGTAGTTTTTGGTGAATTTTGGGGTTCTCCTCTTTTCGGCTTTCCGACGCTCCAAGACGGCGGTCTTCTGGGCGTCCGAAGCCACCTGGGAGGCTCCAAAATCGCCCCACAACCATCCGAAAGGGCTTCCAGGCAGTCCAAGAGAGCCCCAAAACGGCACAACACGGGTCCAAGATGGCCCTCAGAGAGCCCCATGGCGGCCCAAATGGCCCCAAGACGCCCTCCGAAGCATTCCAAATCGTGACCCGGTCGTTCAGGGAGAGCGTGGTTGGAGGCAGGGTGACCCGAGGAAGCCCCCAGAGGCCCCCAGAATACGCCCAGGAGGCCTCCAGAAGGCATTAAGAAAGCCTGAGACAATTTTGCTGTTGCCCCCAGAGGCTCTCCCAGGAGGAGCCTCCGCAAAAAAAAGCTGAGGAGGAAAGGGAGAATGCGCAGGGTATGGCGAACATGAGGAAAAATATGCATGGAGGAAGGATAACGAATCTCATTATCATAGCGGCGATGCCGGACAAGGCAACAAGGAGTTATCGCTAAATTGTCGGCTTGATCATCCTGCTACTCCGCCTGCAAACCAAACTTCAAGGACCAAGGTGCATGGCGCGAAGCGCCACTGCAGTCTTGTATATATATATATATATATATATATATTGACGTTTGGCGCTCCGCGCGGATTTGGATCCACGAAGTCCGCGCGGACCGGCAAACGTTTATGTTTATGCAGCTGTTTGCCCTCCTGCTGCTCCGGTTCTTTCTTGGTCCACCTCGTCGACCCCTGCATCGCTCCCTGGACAATTTTAGTCTCAGCCGTGAGGCGTCTTGGAGAGGTGACGATTCTGGGCGCCTTCCGGAGGCCACCTTCCGAAGAGCTCAGCCACCTCGCCGAATCATCGACATCGGTCGGCTGGCCCGGCACACCCGCTTTGCACGCCGCGCCTCGGACTCAACAGCTTTCTGCGAGCCGCAGGTTCACTAGCTCCGTTGCTAGCCTCTGACGAGTCTTCGCAATTTTCAGCCGCGGGTTTACCAGCTTTTGGCATGTACACCACTCTTAACTTTTTAGTGCGCGTAATTCGCCTCCAGGCTGAGTTTCTTCACAGAGCCCCCTGCCCCGAGCGCCGCTGGCAGCGGCTAGGGGGGCCATCCCCCCGTATTAGCCCAGCGGCAGTGATGGGACGGGTGAGGTGCTGCGTTTCTCGAGGCCCCTCTCATGGGAGCCTCCCTTATTTTGAATTGCAGCGGAAGGTCGTGCGGCTCCTTCGTCATTGGCTTCAGGCCTTTGTGCTACCTACTTACCTACCTGGCGGGCAGGCCGCCCATCGACGACAGCAGAGGCCATGCCCATGCCTCGCCGTTGATATCGCCGCTGTTCTCGCTATACCTCATTGTCGGCCCGGGGCCGAGCAGCCCTGGTTTGGCCGCAGAGGAAGCCTGCGGAAGTTGGCATGTCGACTGGGCACATGTAATACCATGCTTTCGACCGTCAGGAAGGCTCCACACGCACGCCTCAAGGTTTCGTCGCCTTTCTTCTTCGCCTTCTCCTCACGTTAGTATCCTCTCCCTGCTCCTCTTTCCACATTCTCTCAAAGGGGCGTCACTGGATGTGCGGCCACCAAGATGTTCACGACAGCCTCTTCCGAAGCGGCACCACGGACCGCATAGTTGCTGATCAGCGATGATGCTATCTCCGTAGGTATTTCCATGCACCGCACATACGTGTTGTTCCTCAGGCCGCAGCATTGCACGAGCTTGCCTACGGCGGGTCGACGTGGGCGGTGCGCCAAGTCTGTCCGGCGATATTTTGATTCGCAGCGCGGTTGACGGTGAGGTGTCTCCCATGATGGACATGCTTGGTGCCGATATTTTGATTGTTGCATGGCCAACGCAGTCCACCGTATCCGGCAGACCGTCCTTTCCGCTCTTGCCTCGGCACTGGGCTGCCGCGGCCGCTGTTATCAGCGCCGCGGGCCCTGCACGGATAAGGCAGGGTCGGTGTCTGCCCCAACTGGGGGCAGGCGTGTGTGTGTGTGTGTCAGTGTGTGTGTGTGCGTCAGTGTGTGTGTGTGTGTGTGTGTGTGTGTGTGTGTGTCAGTGTGTGTGTGTGTGTGTGTGTGTCAGTGTGTGTGTGTGTGTCAGAGTGTGTGTGTGTGTTTGTGTGCGTGTGTGTCAGTGTGTGTATGTGTGTGTGTGTGCGTCTGTGTGTTTTACATCACGCTTGGCCCAACCTGTTTTCTGGTACCTCTAGGCCTGTTGCCGCGCCTCCTTCTCCGGAGCGTTGCCAGGCCTTCCAGGGGCGCCACACTCGCAGGCAGATGTAGCGGCCTCGAGGCAATGCTATTTAAACGCGCCTCGAGGCGGGAGGGCGGGGGTTCCTCCTCAGTCGTGCTTTGGGCGGTTGCCCCGCTTCAAACGTCGCAGCGCTGTGATTTCAGCAGTGCTTGTGTCCGTGTCATTGCGGGGACGCAGACACATTAGGGCGAGTTCACGCGACCTCACCTGATCTTAGCGCAGCCGCAGCTTATGCAGAAAACCAGTGGCTTAGAGCTTGTTCTTCCATCTGTGTGCTGAGGCGGAGCGGAGTGGTGGCAGCACGAGTTGGGCCAGGGATGGATGCGGCAGCTCCGGGGAGGCGTGGCGCAGCAACCCGCGCTGCCAGGACTCTGGAAGACGCCATGGACACCAGGCCTTCCCGCTCGGGCTCTCTCCACCGCCGGGGAGCCTGCCCGCAGCCCTACGGGAGGGACGCCGCGGGGGGGCACACTCCCGGTGCAGTCCTGAAAGGACCAAGGCGAGCCGAGGTTTCCGTCCACCCATCATCTTATCTTAGAGTGGTGGCGCTCGGTGATGCGAATGTCAGAACGGCGCGTGATGCTCAACTCTCGATTTCCACCCACCTGCTCCACCAGACGTCCCATTCTGATGAATGTCAGCGCAAGGTCCGGGTGATGTCACGCGTTTGAGGCCTGAGATGCAGGGCAGGATCCCGTAACAGAATGTCGGTGACTTTTCAATGGTTGTTTGTAGGGTTGCATGTTGGTGCTCATATTGATTGTATGTTTCCTGAGCTCAGATTGTTTTTTACCCAAGCAAGCTTGACCTGAGGGATGCTCATGTCTTGTGAAAGAAACTAGTGGGTGCGACGTGTGAATTTCAGAGGCCGCCCAGAGGGTTTCCCAGGCTGCTCCGTTGCCTGGTTGCCCGGCGTTCCCAAAGGGTAGTGCGTGGGTGCCTGGTTCCGACATGCGAAGCAATACCGAGCAAAGCCGAGCAATACCGAGCAAAGCCGAGCAAAGGACAGCAACACAGAGCAAGTCAAAGGCACAAGGCCAAGCAATGCCAAGCAATGCCATGCAAGTCCCTAGGTTGCCCCGATACCCGGCGTTCCCCAGCGTTGCCTATGGGTGCCAGGTTCCCGAATGCGAGAAGTGAGAAAGATTGGAGGCTGCCCAGCCACTATTAGAAAAGAGGTTGGCTAAGCCTGCCTCAATGCTACATTGGGCTCAGAAGGGGCAGCGCCAGGGCGATGCCGTGAACGCTGTGCGAGCTTGCCGTGGTAAAGCTCCAAGTCGGTGTCCGAGACTGCAAGAAGCGTCTGGGATCCGAAATCTCGAAATCAGACATGATCAGCAGGCGTGGAAGACACATGTCTTCTGCCTGAAGACTTCAGCGACATGCAGTGCTGAACGGAAGAGCACTCATGTCAACTGCAACATCTCCACCAAGCCAAGATGCAGAGACTCATGTGGTGTAGTGCGAAAGTGGAAGCGGCGAGCTAAGACTTCCCCTTTCCGCCAGACTTCCCACCCTTGCCAAGGGCTGTGTTGGGATACGGCTCGTGACGTGCCATCCCTGCCGATGTCGTCCGCGAAGCCGCACGGAGAGTGCCAGAGACCTCGGAGGCCAGATCACCAGGGCCGAGAGTATGACGCGAGATCTCTGCACCAGCATCGTTGCCAGCTCCAACGCGATGGAGCTGCAGTTGAGCAGGAGCAGGACCAGCAGGCGCAGGTGGATCGCTGGCGGGTCCTGGTGGAGCCATGCAAAGCAAGGGCGAAGCCATGCAAAGCAAAGCAAACATGTCAAGAAAAGCCACGCAATTCCAAGCAATGCAAGGAAACGCCAAGCAAGGCCACGCAATGTGCATCATGCCAAGCGGTACCAAGCAACGCCAAGTTGTACCAAGCAATGCAAAGCAAAGACAAGCAATGCCAAGCAACGCGAAGCAATGCAGTGCATCGCCAAGCACGGAAAGCAATGCAATGTAACGCCAAGCATGGCCAATTAACACAAAGCCCTGCCAAGCAACCCCAAGCGGATTTAGTTACCCAATTGTTTAGGCAACGTGCCCTTCATTGTGGTCTCGCCGGGCTCATGTGTGTTCGGGACAACGCGTCGGTGTATCATGTCGGTGCGGTTTGTCTGCGTCCCGTCGATGTGCTTGCATGCGTTACATGCTGTAAGGTTGTCGTAAGCAGAGGTGCTCTGGACTGCTGCAACATCAGGACAGGATTCGTACGCGATGGTGGTCTGCAGCGCCGTGTAGACGTGGCCACTACAGAGGTCCGTCACCAAGGTCGTAGACAAACGGTCACAAGTACAACGACGCCAACATATGATGAACAAACGCTCAAACACGCACTCGTAGGTTACGGTGTGCGTATTGCGTCAAAAGTATTGTGACCAGTGTCGCGCGTTCAATGCATGTCTAGCTTTATGATCCAGATATAGACCTCTTCGCTTGCCCTCGACTAGACTTTCGCGTGGCAAGGCGCCCAGTCTCTTCAGATAGGAAAGTGTTGCAGTGACCGAACCTCTATTCGCAATCATCATTGTGATTATGCAGAATTGGCGCGCTAACCATGGGGCAGACACATCTCTCCCAACGGGAGGAAATGCAAGTACCCTGAGCGCGTACTGCTGAGTTGGGCGGAAAAGCGCAACGATAGTTGCTATGAAGCGAAAGCGGATCGGAATGCAATTGTACGCGGTCCTTGTGCAAATGGCTGGTTCATCCAGGGTTCAACGGGAAATATATGTGTGCGGTTTTAACAGGGTGCGTCGAGACGGCCCCAATGCAGCCCCAAGACACGCTCAAACCGGATTGTCCACGAATGCTATTTACCTAACAGCGAAGACTGATAGAATTCTAGTGGGATCAAAAGAGAGCAGCAGATCATTCCACAGGGGGGTCCGGGCAGGTGTTGGGAGTTGCCGGGCGGCAGGTGCCGGGCTCGTTTTTCACCAACAGTCACACACTTCGTGCTCTTCGACTTCCCAGAACTCCATTCCCAGGCCACATTCTCAATACCCGGATGCAACAGTCACACACTTCGTGCTCTTCGAGTTCCCAGAACGCCATTCCCGGGCCACATTTAGAATAACCGGATGCAACAGTCACACACTTCGTGCTCTTCGAGTTCCCAGAACTCCATTCCCGGGCCACATTTTGATGCCCGGAGCCAACTGTAGGCCACTTCGTGCTCTTCGAGTTCCCAGAACTCCATTCCCGGGCCACATTTTGAATGCCCGGAGCCAACTGTAGGCCACTTCGTGCTCTTCGAGTTCCCAGAACTCCATTCCCGGGCCACATTTTGAATGCCCGTAGCCAACTGTAGGCAACTTCGTGCTCTTCGACTTCCCAGAACTCCCATTCCTGGGCCACATTTTCAGCAGGGGCAAGAGCACGACGAGGAGGAGGACGAGCAAGACCAGGAGGACGAGGACGAGCAGGAGCAGGACGAGGAGCAGGAGGAGCAGGAGAAGAAGGACGAGCAGGAGGAGGAGGAGGACGAGCAGGAGGAGGAGGACGACCAGGAGGAGGAGGACGACCAGGAGGAGGAGGAGGAGGAGGAGGAGGGGAGGGGGAGGAGTACCGAGGAGGAGGAGGAGGAGGAGGAGGAGGAGGAGGAGGAGGAGGAGGAGGAGGAGGAGGAGGAGGAGGAGGAGGAGGAGGAGGAGGAGGAGGAGGAGGAGGAG